GCTGGCTGCTGGCATGTACGTCCATCTGGAACGGGTGCCTCAGCAGAGCACGCCTGGTGATGGGGCTCAGCAGTGAGCCCCATCGAGGGGCCCGACTTCCTGAAGCCACGCCCTGGATGGGCAGGTGAGCATTTTCCTGCAGTTCGGATCTCTGCCCGCTTCCCCACTTACTGGTCCATGAGACCCCGAGAGGCGACCTCAGAAAACAGACACCTTTTCCCAAATGGCAAAACAAGAATGAGTCATTGGCAGGCTGGAACCTGCCAACCATAACCCCAAGTTCAAGTGGCCCCTGAAGAGGACAGCAAACTGCCCCCAGCAAGTCCTGATTCATTTTCTTCTTCCCAGTATGGGAGCCGCATCTCCCTCACACCACTGTTTGGGTAAAATTATCTGAGGAGATGGAAGGCAGCCAAGCACAGCAACTCTGAGATATCTCTGGTTTCTTGGATCATAATCAGTCAAGATTTAAGCAGAGGCTTGGCACTGGACTACATTGCTGCTTTGAGTTGATGACTTTCTGGAATAAACAGAGGTCAGATGTCCAAGCTGACTTCATTAAATCTGCCAAAATCTTCAGATCCAGTTGACAACAAAGCAGTGGCAATCTGGATGCAGGATTTGGCGGGGGAGGGGAGGGGAGAGTATCATTATCTTTAAATCCTTGGTTCTAAGGAGAAACTTCCAAGACTCAGGATTATCTATGACCATCATTATTCCTTAGCTGCTTGAGAACTATTTCAGATCTTAAACTGTTCAGACTGAAGTCATCTTTTATTGTTAAACTGTCCCTGCTGTCTTCAAATGTGACTCTTCTCTGCTTTTCTATTTACGGAGGGTAGTGTGGAGAATTATCATAGAAGGGAACAGACCTGTTTCTTTGGAGGTCATCAGACCACAGCTGGCATCACTACTCTGAGGCTAACTGAGGTCACAGAAGACAGTTATAGGCAGAGCACGGATGCTCTGGACACAGCGCTGGCAGTGGTTTTCCATTGGTAGTCAGGGCTAAAAGGCAGGACTTGCTGGGGGCAGTTTGGGGCCACTTGAACTTGGGGTTATGGTTGGCAAGTTCCAGCCTGCCAATGACTCATTCTTGTTTTGCCATTTGGGAAAAGGTGTCTGTTTCTGAGGTCGCCTCTCAGGGTCTCATGGACCAATAAGTGGGGAAGCGGGCAGAGATCCGAACTGCAGGAAAATGCTCACCTGCCCATCCAGGGCTTGGCTTCAGGAAGTCTGGCCCCTCGATGGGGCTCACCGCTGAGCCCCATCACCAGGCGTGCTCTGCTGGGGCACCCGTTCCAGATGGACGTACATGCCAGCAGCCAGCACGCCTCAGGAACTTTGTGGCCTGGGAGCTGCAGTAGCCGCAGGGGAGGGCAGGGTAACAAGACAGATGTGACAGGACAGAGCAGGGCTGCAGGGAGCTCTGGAGCACAGACACCTGGCACGGGCCAGAGCGGGTAGGCAGGATGTCTTCAATCTGCTGCCTCCGCAGTGTCTAGTCCACTTTAGCTCTCCTCACAACTCCTAAGAAATAACCCCCCCCTTACCCCATTTTCAGTCCCAAACTCCCCACTGACTCCAAATGTAACCCAGGATACAAAAAGAAAATGCTCACTTCTCAGACAGAACGTCCTGCCTTAGGCACACTTAGTCCACCGTTTTGTTTTTTTCCAAAATGAAGCTTCATTTGCCAGGCTGAGATGCAGCTCAAATGCAGCACTTACCAACCTACGCACTGTCTCCCAGAGAAAACTAAGAACTACATTTTAACATCTTTATATAAAGTGGCTTTTCATTTTAGATGCTAGAAAACAGCCCCTTTGAAATTTGGAAGGAATTAATTTGTAGATGACATCATGCAGTATATTCAAATATTGCCAAATTCAGATTTTTTTTTAATCATTTGCTTTTCTTGGTTAAATGCAACCATTTTTAGGGTAATAATTGCTTAATATGCCTGGCACACTATTGAAATCCCCTATGAGAGGCTCAAAATGAGTCAGAAGGTCAATTTATTCCTTGGCCAGGTTCCTTTCACAACATAGTTTTCCTGTGCTGCTGTTCAGGAGGAGCAATTAAGGCTCAGTGTATGCAAAGCTTCCCAGCTGAATTCTGACCCCATCAAATGATATCATCAGAGCTCTGGCTTTTGCCTGGTGGTGCACAGCTTTCATCTGTCAGTAAATCTTTGGGGGCCTTTATTTTCTTTCCCAACCTTAAAAAATAAGAAAGCTAAACTCTTAACAATGCCCTGCTTACTTCTCTGACAGACCCTTTTACTATCTCTACAGTCTCACTTTCTGCAGCATTTACAACACCCCTTGGCAGTGTCGTTTCTGTGCCCTACATAGAAATATATACAAATTCCTTGCCTGATTATTAAAGCACTAAAAAGCCCTCATTAAAATGCTTATCATTCTTCTACAGTGGTCTTGCCAACATTTGGTAAGTAAAGACCACTGAAAGGTCAGCAGCTACCTGAATCCCACAGACCAGTGGCTTATACTGCAAGCTTCCCACACATTTGATCTACACTGCAGATAGCCACAAAATTTCAGGGTGGGAAGAATTTATAACTCCAACTGCCTTTGATGGGTGCTTTCTCAAAGTCTCATTCAAGAACTCAGGTAGTATATCTTTCCTCAAGTTCCACTGAAGATGAGCCAGACTTTTATGAACCATAAATGTACTTTACATCCTCCCTTTTTACGTAAAAATCCACCCCAGCCCTTCCCATGTCCAGATTCCCCTTCCCCTCTGGCTTAATTTAAACGCTAGTATTTACAAAATACTAGAAACTTATAAAAGCAGAAAATGTTACAGTTCAAATGCTGCACAAAGCCACTGGATTGAAAGAGATGCCTTTTGTACTTTTTCTATCAATCTGAAAAGGTTTAAAGAAATAGGCATAGAACTTTTATTTCTGGAGTTTTAATGTGGATTCAATTTATGCACAGGAAAGAAGTTTCTCCTTTGTTCTTGGGGGCACTTGGTAAAGAGTATTATAAAAGTTAGGTTTTTTTACAGTGAGTAAAACGTTATCAAATCATCCACTTCAAACGCAGGATTTTGCTTACCATCAAATCCTTCTCCAGATAAGGCTGTCTTAATATTCCTGGACGGCTTTTGTTTTACTGCTAACACTAAAACTGCAGTGTCACTGCCATAACTTGGAGGGGGGGGGGAGGGGATCAGGAGTCGTGTTAAACTGACTTTAGATGTTGTAGAAGATAAGATGTTACATGTATCAAGCAAGACAAGAGGATGAACTGCAATGAAAACTCACTCTAAGGGTTTGGCAGCTAAGGAATCATTCCTCTTTTGGATCCAGGTGGAGGGAGCCCGAGAGAGACTGTCCGAGCAACAGTACAACAGACTTGTGGACTACATCACAAAGACATCGTGTCACCTGGCGCCCAGCTGCTCTCCCTCGCAGACAGCATGCCCAGTGGTGGCTGTGGAACCTCTGCCCTCCACTGTTAAGACATACCATTACCTGGTGGAGCCAGATTTCGCACAGGTCTTCATTAGTAAGTTTACCATGGTGAAAAATAAAGCCCTGAGGAAAGGGTTCCCTTGAGATCCCTCCAAGGTGCTGATTCCTGTTTGTGCCAATTGTTTAAAAAAAGGAGGCTGACAGCAACAAACATCTAATACGGACACAAGGTCAGCATTTTCCTCTAAGTATTCTTTTAGCCTCTCCTAACATCGATTCTTCCTAAAACTAAGACACTCAACAATTTATTCTTTCCCATTTGAGGCTCAACAGATCTAGTCTAACAGATCTGTGAGACTATGTATTCCATTTTGCTAGCCTGTAATGACATTTGCTAAAATGTCTACCATAATTCTGCTTTCATACAAAATGTGGTTAATTCCTTACAATGGGGTGTTAAAAGTTTCATTCCCAATTGAATCTGTTTTTAGGCAAAGGCTTGGATTCTTAGAATGAAATTAAATGCTTGGAACTTAATGCTTAAATGTGTGATCCCAGTATTTGAAAGTTGCTATGTATATACCTAGTTTTAAACTCTGTATTTAACTGTAATCTATAAAACATTCTAATGGCTGTTTTAAGTTTCTTTTTAGAAATTTTGTTTTACAAGGAAAGCTCAGTAAATCTTATCTACTGATAAAAACAGAATACTTAGGTGAGTTTCCCTGGTTCCATAAACAAAATACATTATTACAAAGTCACTATGAAATTTTTTTGTGGGTAAGTTTTAGCAGTACCAGACTCCTCTGCACCGAGAGTCAAGGGCCCCAACATTAACAGTAACCAGTCCAAATAGCTCATTTTGTTGTATTAATTTGATCAAAGACAGAGCCCCATTGTCTATTTCCCTTAGTGAGTTTAATACACTGGGTCACCAAGATACTAACATTTTACTGATTACATCCAAACCTACTAAGCCTATGACAAGAAAATTCTATTTTTGGCATGTCAATGTGTTATTTCTGGAAAACAAGTGGTTACGGGACAGTTCAACTAGGTGAGTGACAGTTTTGTCAATTAACTTAAAGAATAACTTTTTAAGACTATAAATGTGTTAATTACCGTATCTTTTATGACAATGTTGCTCACTACTAAAGTATTTCATAAACTATTTAAATAAAATAAAAGGGATCCTCAGAGTTACAACACATTATACCACCTTTGCCACCAGGGGTATTTAAACGCAGTTTTTTCATTGATTGAATGTAAGAAAAACCCCACTATCCTAATAAAGTAACAACTGGCTTTCCTGAACTAGATATATATACTGAATTACATATATGTCTGATTAGTTCTTTAATAAAGCAATCACTGAGCAAAGGAACTTAAATCTTAACTATATTACCTTGTCTGTGGATGAGTATTAGCTGCAATGAAATCAAAAATGTCTTAATGAAATTTTAAATAAAAGTTAAGATGTTTACCTTCATAAAGAGTTAAAATCCAACCTATTGTAATACAAAGAGCCCTGAAGTTCTCAGTAATAATAAGCAAAGACTTCCATCCACAGTATTTGTTTATTTATCAAGAGAAATTACTCCTTAGCTCAGATAGTCACGTTTCATAGTTCAGGAACACAAGTTAGTGACAAACTTCCATGGAAGTCAAGCCAAAGTGGTCCTGCGAAGAAAGAAGTTGATAGGTTAGTGACAGGCTCTCGACATTGAGACACCATCTACATCACCTGTTTGTTTCCAGCAGTGAAGCCCACACTCGTGACGAGGCGGAGCCTAGTGGGCACAGCACACCACTACTCCTTTTGCTTCCACTTACTCAATCCTACTCTTTTCTGCAAGGCATCCCCCTCCCATTCTGTTCTCAGAGCCACATACTATTCTTAAGAACCCATCTGTTCTAAATAATTCTAGCTCCATTTTCGTTGACTTTTAAAACACAACTTCTTAAAAACGAATACATAAAAATCATTACTATCTTATAACTGTTATATACAAATGTGGAAAAATTAACTTCCAGTTACTAGAAAACATTAAGATCCCAACAAAACTATTAGTATCTTGATCTTTTTCCACCATTTTTTTGTGCAATAATTTTTCCATTATACAATGAGTTATTTAATATTACTTTGTATCATTTCTAATGGCTGTAGTAAAAGTCCATTATATGAAAGTCACTACCATACCAATTCTCCAACCACTGGAAATAAAATTGTTTTATACTATTTTAAGCAATACCATGGATACAGCATGTCTTTAAACAATTACAGAAATGGAATGTTACACAGTGAGTCTTGTATTATGCAAAAGTTACTCAGAATTTTCCTTGCATTTCTTCCCAACATCTTTATAGAAACTGACATGCTGTAACTGATAAACATTAAATGGAATCCAAACAGCATCCAACTACATGCTGTCCATAAAAAATTCATCTAAAACTGAGGGCACCAAGTTTGAAAGAAACAATGGAGTTATTACACAGAAATACACTCACCAGAAAGCAGGGATGGCCACACTATTACCAGACAAAAATCTAAGTCAATAGTTACAAGACTCAACTAGCAATGTGTAAAGATAAAAGGGCAACTAACCAGGAACATGAAACAATTTACATACACTTGAGTACAAATGTAAAGCAAACACTACACACTAGTTCTATCCAAGACAAGAGTATTTATTCTACAGAACTGAATACACTTTTCAAATACACATGATATATTATCCAGGAAAGACTATCTTACATCATAAAATAAGACTTAACAAGATAACTGAAATCAAACTAGAATCAATTTCAGAAGTAAAAAAACATCCAATCCTCAAATACTAGTGAAGAGAATCCATCAGCTTACTGAAAGAAATACAACTATGACCAAGGGAAATGTATTCCTGCACCACCAGAATGTGTTCTCATAATAGGACCAACAAAGCCACATCATCATCTCAACTAATACAAAAAATGCCTTTTCATGATTTTAAAAACACCACAAAACTAGGAATTAAAGCACAATGAAGGCCTAATACAAAAAGTTCATAGGTAATACACTCACTAGTAAAAGACTAGTTTTTCCTGAGATCAAGAAAATAGCCAAGTACTTTGACTAAATATTTTATTAAATATGACACTGAAGTCCTAGCCAGAGAAATTATAACTATCTGTTTGCAAATGACCTGAACCTTTTATGTAGAAAACTAATGATTCCACACAAAGAGTATACAAATTTGGTAAAGTTGTAAGGTACAAATCAACACATGAAAAACCAGCTCCCATGCAGAAAATTCCAATGGAATAGTTTCAAAAAGAATATGGTATTTAATAAACAACCAAAAAAGTAAAAGACCTTTAAAACTATAAACATTGCTTAAATAACTAAAGACAAATACCCAGATGAGAATATTTACCATTGTTAAGATCATACCAAATGGTTTGAAAGCATTAATCTTACTAGGTCTCTCCCATGTATATAGGAGTCATGTATGTTTATATACATTATTTATATAAATATACGTATTAAATTTATATATAAATTTTTTGTTTCTCCTTTATCTGACACTTGATTATTTACCAGTCTAGAAAAACCCTGAGGGGAATGAGATGATTTCCCCTGTGCCAACACAATCCTTATAAAAAGCCCATTGTCAGTCACGGCCTCCCTAGGGATGCAGGGGTTAAAGTCAGCACTAGCAAGCTATACCAGCCACAAGGGATGAGTTCAATCCCCGGCCAGGGAGGTGACTCACATGGTACAGCAGACCTCTCCTGTCTTGCCTACGGCTCCCCTCAGCAGTGTATTTCAGTATATCTGCCTGTTCTGGTCCTTATTCTGTCTTTGGTGAATCCTCTCCCTCCCATATCTCTGGCCTACACCCCAGTTCTTGTATGAAGTAATAAAAAATAAATTTTTAAAAAACCCAAATGTCATTTTTTTTTCCTTAGAAACAGCAATACTCATGCTGCTATTCAAATGGAATATCAAGGGACCCTGGACTAAAACAGTCTCCAAAAAGATAAAGTAGGAGGACTCAAACTTCTTGATTTCAAACTTTCTAAACTTCTTGACTTCAAACTTTCTATCAAGTAATCAAAAATCAGAAAGACAGGGGAAAAAAAAAACAGCAATAGAAGACAGCCCCAAAATAAACTCTAGCATATAGTACAATGATTATCAACACAGGTTCCGAGACGCCATGCAATGAAGAAAGGACATTCTTTCAATAAATGGTTTTGGGGCAATGGATACTGGTGTGTAAAAAAATGAAGTTGAACCATGACCTTACTTCATTCTAAAAATCAACTTCAAAACCTAAAACTGAGCTCAAGCTATAAAATCTTAGAAATCATGAGAAAGTTCATGACACAGATTTAGCAATAATTTCTTAGATGACTTCAAAAGTGTAAGTTTTTTATATCACATAAATTTAGCCTCCCATGAAAATAAAAACTCTATGCATTAATAGAATCAATACAGAAAGCAATTTATAGAATGGGAGAAAATTTGCAAATTACATCTGATAGGCATTAGAGCTAAAAAACAAGCAGTTTGATTAAAAATGCATTGAAAGAGCTTGAAAAAGTCATGTGTCTAGAATATAAGTGGCCAATAAGCAGGAGAAAAGAGTATTAACCATTAGGAAAATTAAAAGCCAACATGAACTATAACCTCATACCCATCTGGATTCTTCCCATCAGAAAAGAACTGTTGATGGGGAAATTCGAACCCCTACGCATTAGAGTGTAAAATACCCAAATGCTATGCGCAAATTATGGTGTGGTTCCTTAAAATTAACAACAACAAAATCCAGCAACAATGATTCTGAACACATAAATGTTGAAATAGAAGGGGTCTCCAAACGTAACTGTTACACATTGTAACAGTAACAACATAACTGTACACACTGTAACAGTAACATTAACAATAATCAAAAGATGGAAACAATTCAAGTGTTCATTAAGGTATAATGTAGTATGACACAAAATGAATTTAGCCTTATTAAAAGAAACTGATACATATTAAAACTGATTAGCCTTGGGAACATTAAGTGAAATAAACCAATCACAAAAAGGTGAATAAGTGATTCTACTTACAGGAGGCACAAAAGCAGTCAAGTTCAGACACTGAAAGTAAAATGGCAGGTGATCAGGATGACAGGGGATGGAAAGTTGTTTAGTGAGAAGAGTTTCAGTTTTGCAAGATGAAGACTTCTGGAGACTGGTTGCACAAAGATGTGAATGTACTGATTACTGCACCATACATTTAAAAGGTTATTTAAGATGATAAATCCTATGAGTATTTCACCACAATTAAGAACATCTGTAAAACAGTCACTCAGCTTAACCATTACCTTTATGTTTCAAGATCACTTTGCACTCTGAAAGATCCCAGCCTTCCTCATCTCCTCAAAATCTTTCATGGAATCATAATTTCTGTAGAAATCTGCATATGCTTTCTTTCTTGGTTCAGCCACAGCGAACTAAAAAGTAATGTACCGTTAGGGTTTTCTTTTTTAGATTATTAGAAACTATGTAAAAAGTTAAATCACATTACGTTTATATTCATCTTAAACCATATCCCTACATATATTTAACACAACAGATGGAGTTGTTCACACAGAAGTGAGGAAAAAAAACTATTGAGCAAACTATTGCAAGAAAGGTCCTTCTTGCCTACAGAGGACAGTTCTTTTGTTGTGTTTGAACATGTGTAAACTGGTAAAAGCCAAAGAAAGATACCCAGAAAGTTAAGGTTTTAGTTTATCCCTGTTGCAAAACTTAATTATTCCCCAATTGAGACATGTTAAAATATTCTACTTCAATTTGTTAGAATATTATCTGGGTAGTTCATAAACTTGCCTCTAGGTCACCAAAAGCTTTCTAACTATTTGGGTGATTTACACTATGCATCACTTAACCTGTTAGAATAGACACTGACCTGTTTTACACATGAGCAAAGTGAGCTTACCAAGTCTAGCAAGAGTACTTGCTTACAATTAAGTCAGGATTTTAAACCATGTCAAAGAGTTTTTTCTCCACAAGACAGGACCTGTCATGTCCAAGGCATGAATTATAATGCAAATATAAATCCTATACAGCATATAAAAGCTAGTAAAAATTCCAGATGTGAGTCAAAATCAATGTAGATATTAAAGAAATACAGGGATACATGATACTCTGGAGTAACAAGCAATGTTTCTCTACCTGGCTAGTTTTAGTGTTATCACCTCGTTGAACCCCCAACTTACTATAGTAAAGACCAAGTGGCAGGATCCCCAGTATAAATCCTCTGAACTGAGGTTTGCTAGGGTCCATTAACCATAAAGTAACTGAACATATTCCAGAACAAAAATATTTGTTTTTAAAATATGGGAACACCAAGGCAGAGAAAAATGAAGCAAACTCAAGAATAAATTTCTATAACCTGCTCAAATTATTCTGTTGTGTAATGTAGTTGTGAGTTTTCAGTGTAAAAAATCTGGACTTAAGCAACAAAATAGTATCAATTTAAGTCCACTAGATCAGGAGAAACTTTAAAAGTCACAAAATAGGCCCTCCCTGGTGGTGCAGCGGGTTAAAGCACAGCACTAAGAAGCTAAAGCCACTTCAGCACGAGTTCAATTCCCGCCTGCCCGGAGGTGACCACATGGCGTGGCAGACCTCTCCTGACCCGCCCACTGCTCCCCTCAGCAGTGTACTTCATTGATCTGCCTGTTCTGTTCCCCACTCTGTCTCTGGTGAAGCCTCTCGCCACCCCTGAGCCTCTGGACTGTACCCCAGTTCTGTGTGCACAAATAAATAAATCTTTAAAAAAAAAAAAAAGCCACAAAATAATCTCAACCAGAGGTTTGTATGGACAGCAAATACCTGAAAAGGTTTATTTTAGAGCAGGCCTATATTGGTGAACATCGCAAAGGAAAATGCCTCTACAGTTAAGCACTGTTAATTTGCCTCTTAAATTCTAAGCCATATTCATAATTTAGGCTTAACATTGCCATTACTGGACAGATATTTATGTAAAAAAATGAAGTGACTCAAATTATGACAAAACTAGGGGGGGAAAAAAGGTTAAATCTTTAGAAGTACTCACTCCTAACTGGTCTGGAAAAACAAAGGTGAGCATCTTCTAATGGACCATCTTCTAATGGACCAAAAACTACCACAATCTTATTCTAAGGTGCTGGATTCCTCAAAGCTTTGTGAACCTTCCAATCAACTAATAACTATTATCAGCATTCCAACTAATCAAGTTTTAAAAAATTTTTCAGAATAGACTGACATAGTCATAGCCATAGGTCTGACAAGGTCCCTGTTCTTAATTTAGTCAGAGAAAGACCCTGAAACAAAGAGTAGCATGTCATTCCTCTAATAGTCAACCTAGTACGACGTGACAAAAATCCAGAAGACCCAATAACTAAAGCCATCCAAGCGAACAAACCAGGATTTGAAAAAAACATTTGGGTAGAAGGACTTAGAAGGATCAACAGGAATTTCCCAGACCAAGAAATGATGTTCCTGTTGTACATGAAGTCTGGAGAAAAGCTAACATGAGAATCAAGACTCAGTTTCAGCAAGTCACCCATGCCCCACTGGTAGGTAGTGAACCCAATTTAGGATGTTGCAGCCAGTACTTCACTGTATTTCTTATTATGGGTCAAAAATTTTAAAAGCCACTAAACAGTGGGTATCGGGAAGAATGACAAAAAGCTATTCTAGAAGCTAACATTTAAAAGTGGCAATCCAGAAGTCATGCAAAGGTCTGAACTTTGATAGTGATAATAAAATATAGTTTAAAAAATATAGTTAAAAAGTAAGTTCCGGCCCTCCCTGGTGGTGCAGCGGGTTAAAGCACAGCACTAAGAAGCTAAAGCCACCTCCGCATGAGTTCGATTCCCGCCTGCCCCGGAGGAGACCACATGGCGTGGCAGACCTCTCCTGACCTGCCCGCTGCTCCCCTCAGCAGTGTACTCCGTCGATCTGCCTGTTCTGTTGCCCTCTCTGTCTCTGGTGAATCCTCTCACCCTCCACATATCTGGCCTGTACCCCAGTTCTGTATGAATAAATAAATCTTTAAAAAAAAAATAAGTTCCCTGTGTTTTTCTCCTTACCCCCATTTCTGTATTTCATGCCAACTATGTGTTCAGTAGCAAAGATCTCAATGAGAAGTTCACTTTTTTGTGCTCCTCTCTTCACAGGGTCCCTTAAAGCAAAGGTCCCTAAGTTCTTTTCTCAAGCTATTCCCCACACTATCGTCCTGGTGCTCCAACTTCACCCTAACTTCTCCATCAAAGATACCCAAAGATACCCACTGACCCTCAATATCCCCACCACCTATCCAAAAAAAAAAAAAAAAAATCCCCTCACTTGCACTTACGTTATATCTTGCAATATTCTCTAATTTCTTCACACTGTACTAAAGCCTCTACAGCAAAGCTCTAGCTCAGCAAAGCTCTAGCTCTCTCAGGGGCTATTATGACACATGGTGGTAATTAGGAATTATCAAAACATTTTAGTTATGTGTAACATAAAGACTAGATAAAATACAAAAGAGAGGATTCCCTGAAAAATCACAGAACAGGACACACCAGGAATCTATCACTCCACTGACACCTTAGACGACAACTACACTAGTAGAATCTGTCTAGTGTAATCTACTGAAAGCTTATAAATTTCTGGGCATTCCCTGGTGGCATAAGGGGCTAGGATGCAGCCCTGCAAGCTGGCTGCAGCCTCTTGAGTTGGATCTCCTGCCCCAGAGGTGATCCACTTTGTGAAGCAGAGCTCTCCTGACCCCGCCCACTGCTCACCTCAGCAGTGAACTTCATCAGTCTGCCTGTTCTGCTCCCCCACTCTGTCTCTGGTGAATCCTCTCACCATCCCTGCACCTCTGACCTGTACCCCAGTTTTATATGCATAAACAAACAAATCTTTAAAAAAAATAAAAGCTTTTAACTTCCAGAAGGTTTGGAAGGTAAACTGTGGTCAGGTTAATTTTGGTCACTTTCAGTTCTTAGCAAACCTAGTCCCCATCCCTAAGATAAGCAGCTGCACATCTGTTTTTGCAGCAGCTGATTTGCAGCATGCAGAAGCTAAAGTGGGCAAGAAGGACCAGGGATCTTTGCTGACAGCCATTTGCTGATTTTTGGCAAACAAAATGTTGGTCATTATTGTTGCAAGCATCTACCACATGAGGCTCAAGGAATGAAGTTCCCTTTTGCTCTCTCTCACTCTTTCCCCCTCTTTGAGACATTCAAAAGCAATCACATTCACCAGTTGAGAGAGTGGCCACACAACCCCTGGTGAAACATCACGAAAGACCTTTAAGTTTACACATCAACTTGACCCTCAGCACAGATGATCTACAACAAAGAAAAAGGAAAAAAAAAAAGCAAAGAAGTTGATTTCCAGGCACGTGGCCAACAGAATAAGACAGCCAATTCAACAACAGAAAATTGAAACTTATAGCATTAAGATTCTTTAAAAAAAAAAAAATGGAAATAACATTAGATACGAAAAATTCAGGTAGACCTAAGATATATCAAAATCCAGTGATGAGCATCCTGTTAAGAGGGAATTTAAAGTGTTCCTGGAGGAGCACTTAAAGACAATGATAAACATCTGCTAGGCAAAGAGAATGGCCTAGAATGCAATGAACACTGCCAAAACCTTTGTCCAGGGTTTCCAGCCCCCAGGAACAGTTGAGAATGTATTCTTTAGGCCACCTTTAGTGATGCTGTTATAGCAACCCTAGCAACTAATACAAGTTTGTTTTAAGAGGGAGGGCAAGCTATATAAGGAATGAGGTACTTTGCTGTCACCCTGAAATGAGCAGAGGAAGGGTAAAAAGGAGCCCACTGACGTTCACAAGAATTAACTATAAAAATAATGTATATTTATAAAGTAAAAATAAAAATAATAACGTACATTTTACAGTGTTAAGCTCACATTTTTAGACACATTAAGTAGTAAAAAAAAAAAAATCAAACAAACATACCTTATAGAGAGCTGCAACCCCCAGGGATACAATGAATGCTCCAACAATATGAACTCGAAGACGTTTGGCCAGAAGGCCTCGCATCTGAGGTTTGGACAAAGCACTGGAAGTCATGGTGGTTATTCGCCTAGACAGGTAAAATGATTTAAAAAAAAAAAAAAACCCTTTTAGAACACAGTAACATAAGCTTTTATTCATACTGCATATTTGTAATTAAAGATGCATAGAGGATGTAGTTAACTGACTCCTCCCCAAATCTAAGGTATTTCAAGGGGCTTTGGAGGGCAGAGTATGGTGAGGAAGGGAAGGTACCCAACACTGGCAAAGATCTAAAGTAATGCCATTTCAACCATCAAAATATATTAAAACCTAAGGTGTTTAATGGCTTAGCCAGCTTCATCCTTCCCCAATCCCCCAACAAGCCGAAGGTCAACCCTATACATGCGCGAGGACGATGACACAAACACAACCAGAAAACAAAGACCACAATGATTAACCTCCAAGTACAGGAACGAAAAGTAACGGGTCCTGACTCCCAAGTGCAAATGCAGTTAGGTGCGCTCTTATGCGCACTTACCACCGACTAAGAGGGTTTTACAGATGAAATCTTAAGTTTCATTAACTTTCATAGGTGAAAAACAACCCTTAGCACGTGAAGCTGACATTGCTCTGCCAGAATCACGCTGTTGGCAGCCGGGACCCAGCAGCAGCCTCGAGCGCTCACCTAGTGACCGCCGCGCCGGCGGCCTAGTCCCAAGGCCCGAAGCCCAGCGCAGACCTTGCACGCAGTAGCGGGGGCGGGGGCGCAAGTGGGCGATGGGGAGGGGAGCTCGGGGAGGGGGCCGCAGGGCGCCTACCGCGGGCCGGCGCAGACCGAGCCGCCACAGGGCCGGTGACGACGCTTTTACGCTTCACCACCCGCCGGAAATGAAGCTGCTGCCTCTGCACAGGTGAAAACACTGCCGGCGAGTGGGTCAATGACCTGACCAAGGAAGGTCACACACACCGGCTAAAGGAAAAACGCCGCGGGGCTCCAGGCCAGGCTGACCGCCACACGTCCGAGCAGAGGCTCCACGCTCCCCCGCCAACCCCCCAACTCAACGGCTCCCGAGCCCCCGCCGCCGCCGATCCGCCGCTCTCCTCGGGCCGCGCGGGGGTCCAGTGGAGATGCGGGCCCAGTGCCCGAGGCTCCCCTACCGCAGGGCTGCAGAACCAGGACGGGACTCCGAGTCTGGCACACCGCAGCGGCGGGAGGCAGTCGCTCGTTACGGGGTTCTCCGTGGGGAAAGCAAAGGCCACTCCACTCACCTCGACAGGACGTCCTTCCACCCTGAAGGAGAAATGGAAAGTGCGCAAGCTCCGCGCAGGCGCAGGAAGAAGGGGCGCCGAAACGGCAACGGTGGCCTATAGAGGTCAAAAGATTTCAGGCCCTCCTCGCACCGTTTTTAAAGTTATTTTGTCTGGTTTCTTTCCCATTGACGTTGGATTTAGGGATCCTGAGTCGTTTTCCTTGACATAATGGAGCTATGAATCTTATACAGAGTGGACATGACTTCACTAGAGAATCCAAAAAAATTAACGTGTTGAAAATGTACACTACAAATAGAAATTATCCTGTATTCCTGAATTTGCCCAGACCGTGTGCACAAACCAAAATTATCACTAGAACTACCCTTACAGGAAAAGAGTTTTGTTTGCAATAAAAAGTGAATACGACATCCAGATTTTAGGCGCTCAGAACCCAGAAGAGGAGCCAAAAATGGGAGACTAATACCAACCGTATGTTGTAAGCATGTAGGGGTACAATATCTGCACCCCCAAATTTGATCCTTTTAGCAAAAAAACCCAGAAGAGGAGCCAAAAATGGGAGACTAATACCAATCGTATGTTGTAAGCATGTAGGGGTACAATATCTGCACCCCCAAATTTGATCCTTTTAGCAAAAGGATTATTCATTGGGAAGGCTCTGAGAACTGAGTAGAGGCTGACATTTTGATGGAGTATTTCATATCTAAAAAAATGCCTACCTTTGTAAGGGAAGACCTAATGTTTTTTAACTCTTAAGGGGAAAACTAGAACACTGTAATTCTTATACAAGGAGAGGGAAGCACTTAAATCTGCATAACAGATGTGACCTTCAATATGTCTTTCCTGGCACTCCCTGACCTCCTCCTTCCACCTGCCCACCATCTTATGTCTTTATGGGAAGTTATTTATGGAGATGACTTAAACTCAGTTTTACGGGTTTCTTCCACATGTAGGGATTTATACATGTTATTATTAAACTTTTTTTTCTCTTGTCTATACATCTGATGCTAATTTGATGTTGTGCCAACCTAGAAAGACCCTGAGGGGAATGGGAAATCACCCCCTCAACCACAAGTGCTACTACTGCCTAACCAATTACAGACCTGGTGGAGCCTGCACGTTTTGATGGAAGTATTTGTGTGTGTGTGTGTATGTGGGGGGGGGGATGTCAGTAAAAAACAAGTAGTTTTAAACAAAGGCAACTGAAAGTTTATGTAGAGCGGTATAGGAGGTTAAGGTGCTTGTATTTTAGGGTTGCTGGCTTGATTTTATTGAAATAACCTGGACTGGAATTAAATCAAATCAAGAAGCACTGAGGAAGATTTACTGGAGCACAAAACAGGTGACATTAATTCAGTGTTGTTAAGTAACAGAAGTCCAGCCAAGTTTATTTTGAAGATTTAAATTACTTTACCAAAGGATGCATAAGTCTGGCAGTACCCCAACTAGCAAGGAAAAAGGCTGAAAAGCTACTCAAAATGAAAAGTTCGGGCAGAAAAGTTCACAATAATGGGAGAATCAGTTCAAGCTTATGGGGAAACAGATAAATGTCTCTTGACAGGTAACCTCATTGTTCTTGAGGAATGGAAAAGTGTGGAGATGACCAAAGGGACTACAGATAGGACTATGTTCCTGGGGGAGATTGAAATTGCAAGGGTGAGGGTGTGGTCTTGAAAACATAATTAGGTTAGGTATTAAGTCTTGGGCTAGCACAACTGACTCTATTTTGGGCCTGTCACATTCTTACTAACAATGTACACTGACTAAACATCTATTATATACCACACACTACTATACAGAGCATGTAGGACAGATCTCCAAGAAGATGTCTTCCTATCAGGAAATTTCTGTTCTAAACTTGATAGACCTTGATTTGAAAGCCAGCATATCTAAGTCAACCTTTCTCCTCTCTAAAGTGGTATCCATTTTTACTTCCTTGAGTTGCTGTAAAAATTAAATGAGATGATGCACATTCTTCCTCCCTGCTCTTTTTACCTACCCCATACTCCTTCCTATTCTAGCAGCCACACTAAGAACAAGCATTTGCACTTAAAATCCTGCAAATTAGGCCAGTGTTGTGCAATGTAAACATAAAATCATAAGGGCAATTTAACATTTCCTGGTGGTCACTTTTAAAAAATAAACAAGTGAAATTCATTTTATAATGCATTATGTTTAGCTCAACATAGCCAAAGTATTATTATTTAAATATGTAATCAATATGAAAATTATTAGTCTTTTCACACTAAGAGTTTCAAATCTGGTGTTTATCTCACATACAACACATCTCAAATCAGACTTGTCACATTTCAAGTTCTCAAATATGGTAGTGGACAGCACAGTGAAAACATTTTACAGAAAAATATTCAAGACCTGTTGCAAAATGAAAATTCAGGCTGCAAAGCTATACTGTATAACATATGCATGAAAATACACATATGCATGTATACGCAGAAAATAGCATTGACAGAGCCATGTTTAACACTGGATCTTTCAGAAAGGGTTTACATACTCACACTATATTAGATTGTGCAGTCCTGGCCCCTTTTGGATAGCCATTCAACACACACACACACTCACTCACTCACCTTCTCTGGATTACAAAAAGCCTGCATTTAAATTATATTCAATTTTAAAATCATAGTAGGGGAGGGAAGAACAAATGTGTATGTAATGTTTTAAACTTCCTTTTAAAGAATAAGCTAACCCAATTGTTTTCATAATTCAAAGCATTTACTGTGTTCTCCAACCTGTGCCATGGGAGATCATAAGGAATTGTAACATGCAGCCTGTGCTCCAGTAACCCCTGAGTTGAAAATAGTTAATGCAGAAGAAAGACTGGAAGATTAGCGCTCAGTGGGAGCTCATTTGTTTACTCAGTAAAAATTTGCTAAACATCAACTGCCTGTCAATCATTGTTGTACAGTCTAGAGATAATGTGAAAAAGACAAAGTTCTTGCTCTCGGAGAGTTTATGTTCTCAAAAAGAACACAGAGCAGACAAGTATACAAATACATATGTGCTGTAACTTTTGGCAGTGGTAAGTGCTGCTATGAAGAAATGATGCAGAGTGCTGGTGGGGTGCCCTTTCAGATGGGAGCCCAGGAAAGTCTTCTCTGAGGTTGTGACCTCTGAGCAGAGTCCTAAGAACATAAGGAAGTGAACCCTGAGAAGATTTGGAAGAAGTGTTCTCCTCAAGACAAGAGCTAGTGAGGTGGCATGAAGTTGCTATGTTCCGGAACCAGAGACTAATGAAGGAGCATGTGGGCGCGGTCAGCCCTGCTGGAGAGGGTGAGATGTGATATGAAAAGTTTGTCAGATGGAGCTGATGGGGAGAGTGTTCAAGCTGATTTGGTTAAATTGTGTGTAAAAGGAACAAAGAGAAAATGCAGTCAGTGGGTGGTGCTTATAGCCCTGGCTTTCTGAAGAGACTGCTGGAATGAGGGCTGAAGGAGCAGGGCTGCCATGTTGACCTTAAAATACTAAAGAGAGTTCGGCCTCACCCTTTTCTTTTTTTTTTTCTAGCTTAGGCTTGCTCTCTGGAGTCTCTCAGAAGGTGCAGCTGGTAGGAGGAACAGACTCTCTCCTCCTCCTCTCTTTTCCTCTCCTCTCTCCCTCCCCCTCCCTCTTCTTAGTCTCAGTATAAATACATCTTTTGTTCTTTTTCTCTGTACCTGTGCCTTTGGGACTTGTCTGAAGCATGAGGGAAGACTCACAACCAGGGTCCTGTCCCTCTCCTGTTTCCTAGCAGAGTTGTTCTGTGGCATCCACAGAGGTTGTAGGAGGCTTTAAAGTGGGAATGGATAGTCCTGTCTTTACACTACCTTCTGTAAGCAGTCCTTTAAAGAGCTTTAAACCCCCCTTGAATGCTTCTAAGCTCAATTTAAAACTGTACAGGAAATATGAGGAAAAAACAACTATGTTACACATCAACACAGGGATGTAACTGGCAGGATCTAGACAGTGGGAAACTCCATAGAACCACCTGGGATCTTCAAAAGAAAAACAGTTGCAAGAAACAAAGGGGGGGGGGTTGTCATGGGGGTTGGGGGTCGGTGAAATGCAGGAGAAAGCAACACAGATTAAAAGGGATCTTCCCTGGTGGTTCAACAGATTAAAGCACAGCACTGCAAGCCCCTTCAGTGTGAGTTCCCTGAGTTGATCCCTGGCCCCAGAGGTGAACCACATGGTGTGGCAGACCTCTCAGACTGCTCCCCTCAGCAGTCAACCTGCCTGTTCTGCTCCCTACTCTGTCCCTGGTGAATCCTCTCACCACCCCTGCAGGTCTGGCCTGCACTGGAGGTTCTGTTTACATAAATAAATAAATCTTTAAAAGGGGGAGGGGGGCAGGGACTTTAGAAACATGTCATCCAGTAACCACAGGTGGAATGTTTTTGGCTCCTGATTCAGAAAAAATGAAAAGGAAAGGAAAAAAACTTGACACTATTTATAACCTGGAGGTAACTGGAAATGTGATGCTAATTTGTTATTATGTTGAAGAACTATTGTTAAATCTCTTTTTCCAGATGGCAATGCCACTGCAGTTCAGCAATACATATTGAAATATTTGCCAATCAAATCATATGATTTGATTTGATTATTTCCTTCAAAGTAATGTAAGTGGGGTTGGCAGACAGGTGGATGGGAGTGGGAGGGTCTGTAGGTTATGAGAGATTAAGTCAGGACTCAGCAAGTTCTTACTACGAAGGGCCAGATGTGGCAGTGAGATACCATCTTTGTGCCATGACTCAACTCTGCCATTACAAATGGGAAGGCAGGGACTGTATAATGTTATGACGTAATGCAAAGTGATATAAAGAAATTGTATGACTGTAGTACAAGGGTCATAATTTGCTGACCCTTGGCTGGACCATGGTCAGCACAGGCCCTCACCATAGTACCGGCTACTTCCCCATTTAGTACAATGTCTTCAGGTTGTGTCCCTGTTGTAGAATGTGTCAGAATTTCCTTTGTAAAATCCATTTATCTGTTTATCAATGAAGGTCGAGGTTGCTTGTACCTTTTGACTATTGAAACAAAGCTATGAACACGATATAGAAATACCTGCTCTTTTATATTCTGTGAC